ATCTGGCCCCAGCCTGGCCACTCATCCCCTTTGGGCAACAAAGAAACTAGCCTGTGGCCTGAGAACACAACACCTGAGACAAAGGCCAGCAGAAATATTTGTCTGCCCTCACCCCACCTGCCCCTGCTTCTACCTGCTCCCACCTGCCCACCCACTGAGATCCATGTCGCATGTCATCTCTCAAACACCCAGGATGTCCCAGAGTGGATGTCCTGCAGATCTGCCTGCAGACAGGAATATCTCTTCAAGTGTCACTCGAGTGATAGTGAAGATGCCCGGCAACCAGAAGGACTTTGTGGTAGCTGATGACACCTTGGTGAGGCAGTTCAAAGAGAAGCTATCGGCTCACTTCAAATGCCAAATGGACCAACTAGTGCTAGTCTTCATGGGCCGCCTTCTCAAAGACCATGACACACTGAGCCAGAGGGGCATCATGGATGGTCACACCATCCACCTGGTCATCAAGTCCAAGCAAGGCTCCCAATCCCCAGCCCATTTCTCCCAAAAACTGCCAACTAATGAGACCTGGTACCAGGACAGAAACACCAAAGGAAACAGCAGTGCGGTGCACCAACCTGAGGGCCTGAGTCAAGCCCCAGTAGAATCAGCTGTCTTTGTGAGGTCAGATGCACCCAAGGTGCATACCCAGGACCTGGAAGTGGCCAGTCAAGAGCACATAACACAGAATCTGGAGAATCCTACCATCCAGCAGCTTCTATCCAACATGGAGTTCATGCAGCAGTTTATCTTAGAACACCCAGACATACAGCAATTGATGCAGCAGAACCCAGAGGTCTCCCACCTCCTTAACAACTCTGAGATCCTATGGCAGACTCTGGAGCTAGCCAGAAGCCTTGCCATGATCCAGGAGATAATGCAGATACAGCAACCTGCACAGAACCCTGAGCATCCACTGAACCCACAGCCATACCTGGGCTTAGAGACAGTTTCAAGTGGGAACAATGTTCTGGGGCAGAGCTATGGCAATTTCAATGACCAAACACTCAATAGCCTGCAAGATCCTTTTGGGGGCAACCCTTTCATAGCTCTCCTGGCAGGACAAGCACTGGAACAAGTCCAGTCCTCCACCTCATCTCCACCACCATCCAAGGAACGGCAAGACCAGCTTCCACAGCTCCCTACAACACGAGTCATCTATACTAGTTCTTGTGGTCTATCCTCAATCACCTCGACCAGTGCCACCCCCAACAGGGTCAACTATACTTCCAGGGCCAGTGTTGCCACTATCTCCACCGAGGGCAGGAGCCATATCTGTGCCATTCAGCAGTCAGCTGAGATACCAGCCTTACCTAGCGTAGAGCTCACCCGAGAACCCCAGGAAGAAGACAATGATGCCACCATCTCTCGAGGTAGCTCTGACCAGAGATCAGAGGATGATCTCCAGCCGTTGAATGAGCAGACCGCCTCCCAGACCACAGGAGGCATGATGCAGTTACTTATGAACAACCCCTACCTGGCAGCTCAGATGATGTTGTTCATGAGTATGCCCCAGGTGAGTGAGCAGTGGAGGCAGCAGCTTCCTGCATTCCTGCAGCAAACACAGCTTTCTGACCTGCTCATAGCCCTAGCCAACCCTAAAACATCCCAAGCAATATTGCACATTGAGCAGGGTCTCCAGCTGTTGGCCACAGAAGCTCCTGTTCTTCTGCCCTGGCTTGCACCCTACCTATGGGGCCTGGGTTGGCGTTCTTCCCCCAGCTGCAGCTACCCTGACATGGTGCCCCGGGCCAAGAACATGCCAGATATGGCTAAGCCCAAAGGGCCTGAGTGCTGCCACAAATCTGGGCAGTCCCACAGAAGCTAAAATCCCTTGCTGAAGATCCTTCAAACTCTCTACAAGCTCCTGAGATTCGTTTCAGCAAACAGATGGACTCTCTCCAGGCCATGGGATTTGGGAACCACCATGCCAATCTACAGGCACTCATCGATACTGAGGGGGACACCAGTGCTGCTGTCCGTAAGCTCATGAGATCCCAGGGATTCTAACTACCACGCCCTATCTGTTTGCTTGCTACTTGCTTGCTGATCCATTTGACCACCTCATCTGCCTTTTACACCTCTCCTGATGTTTCCAACCAGGAGAAGCCCTGGAATAGGAGTAACCAACCAATGCTTTCACTACTGAATATACATCATTGGCCATGGCTGGAAGATCTGTCAATAAAATGGCTACACCAACTTGCCCCTTCTGAGGTTTGGCTTTTCTTTTTCTTTTTCTTTTTTTCTTTCAAAAAAGCAAGAGATATCTCTGTATCATTTGCCATACATACAAGTACATGAAGTACATGAACACACACTGACACACATACCACATGCACATATTCATATAGAGATAAAAAGAATCAGAGTTACATATACCACCCTCAAATATAAAAGAATATTCATATGTAGCTTCAGACAGGTATGAACATGTACATCAGCTCACATAGCAAAAGATTTACATATTTAGGCACATGGAGTCAACACGCAGATATACAAAGCCATGTCACATATGGGTACATACAGCCATACACAAATACTCACACATTTTAGAGACACATAAACAGACTCACATGTAGGGGAAGAAAACCAAAACATATTCATACAGAAAGGAAAAATGTTACATAGAAAGAACAGATATTTAGTCAAAAAGACTGTTTTGATTTCTCAAACCCAAATTGTTCAAGTTTGAAAGTGGAAGAACCTAGTGGGCCAGAGTAAGAATAACCCACATATCAACCAGGTCCTGATGAGCACTTATCATTGGAGACGCTTACTAATTGCCATTGCCACAAGCATAGGACTTCAACGGGCTGTGCACACAGAGATACAGCTGTTGCCAACCTCACTGTATGTTCCAGTCACCACAAACCCAGCCCTCCACGGGGCACAGAACCTTCCAAGAGTGTCACACCCTTCAGTGTATCAAGTTTGCAGCTTGTGTCTTCTACAGTTGCTAAGGCCCGATCTCCTCCTCGGCCTGCCTCACCCCAGAGTGTCCCAGCCTGGCAGGATATGCAACCAACTGTGGTTCAATCGTCCAAT